ATTACAAAGATTTCTTTCTAATTTCATTGTCCTTTAACTCTTGCAAAGAAAATAAAATATGTGAGCTGCCTTTAAAAAGAGTATGTGTGCCAAAGGGGTTTATTAAACTAGCCTGTTTAAAAGCATGCCACTGGTAGGATGATAAATTGATGTACACTGAAGGTTTTCAGCATAATTCAAAAATTGGCATAAAAATCAATAGTAGCTGATGGCTTGCTTGCAAAGTAACTACCTCATCGTGTTGCACCTGTGGATGCACAGTAGTCTCTTACAGCAGCGTTCAAAGTCACTGTAAGTTGCATCTGAAAACTGTTCTTGTGGTTCTCTTTAAGTAAATGTACCTTAACTGCCTCAAGGCAGCCTAAGGCATTTTTAGATATTTTCATAAGTAAAAATGAAGTAATATTATGTGTCACAAATTATTTTGTAAATAATTGGAAGAGTCAGTGTGCACAGGAAGATAACTGCATTGGTATATTGGTGATTATAATCATCCACATATAGCACTCCTGTGACATTTATCCAAACAGCGTGTAACTGGCTATATGGATTTTGGAGCCAGTTGTGCAGATTCGTGCATATGAAGTCTCATGGACTTGCCGTAGATGCTAATACGCAAGTTGGGTATATTTAAAGCAGAAATAGGAGTTAAGGGGATGGCTAAAGGGGATTTTTTCATTTTAATCATCAGCATACAATGACTTTCTCTACAAGACGGTCATGTTTGTTGAAAAAACAATACAAGGCTAGATTAATATTTTAAATAGCAAATGAGAAGTTGGATTCTTGATTTGGTATCTTGCCTTTGAATAGGATAAATTTAGGACTTGGAAGTTTTGTTTCTTTTTAGGGTTGTTGCGATGCAAATCTGTGCTTATAAACTTTGAGGTCTCTGTCAGGGTCCTGGCTCCCACTGGAGTCTTGTGGGATATTGTGTGGCAGGACAAATTAAAATACTTTTGGCCTTTGTGCCAGTTTGCTGGCAGAATCAGCTTTGGCTGCTGCTGTAGCCCTTGTGAGAAGCCTAATGGGTATGTTACGTGCTGATGCTCCCACCTTCACATGTTCCCATTACTTACTCCCATACCAAACCCTTTCTGCAATAGCACATCTTTAAATTAAGTATTTCTTGATTGTGCCTCCCTGCCCTCTGCTTCGTATGCTCTTAGGCTATTTGGTCCATTCAACTTCCTGTGCTGCGTGTTTTCCCCATTGTGCTCTTTCTTACCATTAGCTCTCTTCTCTGGTGTCCCTTCCCCTGTGCTGATGTCTGCTATCCATAAAAAATAAAGATTTGTGGCATGGCTGTGATACATGTACAGTAATTATTTCTCAGCACAAGACAGACATGGACCTGTTGGAGCGGGTCCAGAGGAGGCCACGGAAATGATGGGGGGATGGAACGCCTCTCCTGTGAAGAAAGGCTGAGAGAGCTGGGGTTGTTCAGCCTGGAGAAGAAAAGGCTTCGGAGAGACCTTATTGCAGCCTGTCAGAACTTAAAGGGGGCTTATAAGAAAGATGGGGACAGACTTTTTAGCAGGGCCTGGTGCGACAGGACAAGGGGGAATGGTTTTAAACTAAAAGAGGGCAGATTTAGACTAGCTATAAGGAAGACATTTTTTACACTGAGGGTGGTGAGACACTGGCACAGGCTGCCCAGAGAGGTGGTAGATGCCCCATCCCTGGGAACATTCAAGGTCAGGTTGGACGGGGCTCTGAGCAACCTGATCTGGTTGAAGATGTCCCTGCCCATGGCACGGGGTTTGGACTAGATGACCTTTAAAGGTCCCTTCCAACCCAAACTATTCTATGATTCCATTCTGTGATTCTATGATTTGCTGTGTGGAATTAAGTTACTTGTGAGGCAAGACAATTGTCTAATCTGATGCCATGCCCTTATACCACCAAAACTTTCACTTTCCTTGACTTTAATTGCTTTTGGGACTTCATTTGTATCAGACAGTGCAGTGAGCCCCTTAGTACAGAATCTGTGTGCTGTTTTGTTACGCCGTTCTCATGTGGTACAGCACTGGCTGCAGCGCTCCAGTGAAAACCTGCCTATACACAAGCACCAGGGAGTTGGTAAATGCCACTCCCTGTCCTGGACTTTGACATAAGTACCTGTAATTGTAGGCCGTGGATCAGGCACCTGACAGCAGTAATTGGAGCAGCTTCCAGGGATCTAAAAAGCAGGAACTTGAAGTTGGTGTAAAGCCATCTATGTTGGCACCTGAGAGGTGCGATCCAGACTCTGATGCTGTTCTGTGCCTTGGCGCGGGTCTCCTGCGTCGATGAGCTCTGAAGAATTGAGATCTCCTTCCAGACCTTGTGTGCTCTCTGCTGCGATGGCAGGCATGTCGCATAACGCAATTGGAAGCGATGCTACTCTGTGGTACCGATCGGCTTTCCGTTTTTCCTCCCTCACTTACTTCATAGTGCTTGTCCTGGCTTGGGACTTAGAACACTAACACAGTAGAAATGGTAGGACTGAGCAAAAGGCATGATAGAAGTTAATGATTTCAGGGAAAACATCAAAACAAGGGTATTACCCTGAAAATAACTTAGAGATCCGAATTTCTGAGTCTTTTATGACCTGTCTGGATGACAAGTTGAATTCTCTCTTTGGGGAGCACTGAACAGTCGTGAATTATCATCATTCAGACTTTGTGGGTCCTTTGTTTCCCTCCTACTAAATGGTAGTATAGGTTTAAACTAAGATTTAAGCAGTCAAATCTATTTTACAGTTGGAACTATTGATAAGAAACATGCTGTCCTATGTGTTCTTTGTATGAAAACATTACTGAGGTGATCTGCTGTAAGTGTTACAGCCTACTGAATGGACCAGTTATCTTGGCCAGAGAGCCAAAAGCACATAACCTAGAAGGGCATGGCTTAGAGGCATAATAAAGGCTTTTTAGACAAGCCTGGTGATTTACAAATGTCCTTTTAATGAAACAGCCTTGTCTTTCCTAGATACTTTAATAGAATATATACATAGGCATCTGGCTCCTGGTTAGCTGGATTCTTTCCAAAGACTGAACTTCACAATGTTAAACAGACTGATAAGAGTATCTGGTAGTCTAGGTGACTGGCACTTAATGAATTGCTCTAAAAAAATCAAATTACAGTAATGTGTTTTTAAAAAGAGCTTGTATTAAAGACTATATGATGTTAGAATAATTTCTCCTGTAACATCTGTTCTTTTATTTGGTATAATTAAAATATTGCATTCTTACCATGAGTTCTTATATGGACATATTATATTACATGGCAGCTGTGGTTAAAAGGGATTGACCTCCAATAGTCATCTACTCAGTAAAAAGCTATTGAGGCTAAGAAATTTCTGAGTGTCTTCAACAGCTGTGTGTTTTTGTAGAAATATATAGACTAGATTCTGTGTTTCAATTTCAAAGCAAACCTTTTTAATAGGAAATACTTTGTTCCTGCTCTGTTTTCCCTCCCCTTCAATTTTTACAGGAGATGGCTTTTGTAGAAAAGTGTAGAAAAGCTTCATAAATTTTATTTATCTATTCCTATTTAAAACCCAGTGTAATAGGTGAAATCTGTAGCTGTAGAAACATCAGAAAGCAATCATCTTTTTGTCTTTAATTGATATAATGACTATCAGGCCTGTATGGAAGAAGCAGTCTGCATGGTCTCTCTATTTGAACACCTCTTCTGTAGGTCTGTGCCTGTTCCACAGCTGTGCTTTGTTCTGTCATGTTAAAAGCCACTTAACTGTAATGGACATCTTCAGTTGCACAGGGATAAGATTTTTTGACCCTCTTACCCTCCCTGGCCCCAAAAATAATTTCTAGAATTGGATTTGTATGTTCTTAAATACGGACTAACCTTGGTATTTTTAAAAAGAGAAATTCTGTTACTATTTGAGGTTGTGTCTTTTCTAAGCATGTATAAATACCGCCTTTTAATTGGTTTTGACAGACGATCCCCTAACTAGATTTGTCTGTTACAGTTTCCTCTTATTGAATGAGTTGGTGAGAAGTACTTTCTTTGTTTTTCTTCTGTAAAATTAGGCAGCCAAACGGTACAGGTTTGACTGCTACTTGGACTTGTGGTGGTGGGAAAACTGTCACGGAGCTGAAAATATACTTGGGTTTTGGATAGATTATAGCCTGGATGACTTTTGGCCTGAGGGAAAAAAATGCTTTTCTGCTGTGAATTAAAACTGTCGATATAGATCTATTTGCCTATAAATTTTCATCTATTTTGAATGCAAGTCTCTTTGGAGATGTTAGATTGGGAGCCTCAAGGTGTAAAGATCTACTGCATGTTGGTGCCTACCTGGGAAACACTTCTTTACTCATCCTGTGTAGGAGTTGATAGTGAATGGGGGAAGAAAAGCTTTAGGGCTCAATGTGAACATTGAGGGTTGGGGTAAATAATAGAAACTGTAAATAATAGAAACTATCACTACGTGTGTATAGTGCACTAGCCCAGTTCAGTATCTGAAATGTTTTATCCTGCCATATAGGAAACTTTTTCAAGGTTTAAACACCTGAATTTCAGTTTTGTGCATTCTGTCTTATTTAAAGGATCCTAAAGGCTTCAAACAAAAAAGCCTAGGTTTTCTCTTTAGGCAACTGCATTATCCATTTGTAGGTTATCTTGCTTAATATTTGCGTTGGGAACGTCCAGGGTCACGGGTAACACTGACTGCCCTGTCCTCTAGCTGGGCAGTGTCTTACAGTGTCTTATGTTTGATGCAATCTTCCCCCCTCCCCCCCGCTTTTTTCTTTCTTTTTTTTTCTTTTTCTCTTTTCTCATCTGTCTTTGCCAGATGCTCCTTTGGGATTCTCCTTTTACAGTTACATTGCATCCCCAAGTGGGGAAGGGAACCAATCATCAGCTGCCTTGAATATTGAAAACTGCTGTAATGTAAAAACTACTGCATGTAATTGATTCTGAGTAAGGTTTGTGAGAGCTTACTGAAACTATGTCGTGGGTACCAAAAATGTCTCGTTTTTGTTTTCTTCTAGGAACTTTATATTGCCGTGGGAATATCTGGAGCAATCCAACACTTGGCTGGGATGAAAGACAGCAAGGTATATAAAGATGGATGTTCTAGGAAAGATTTTTGAGGAAGGAAATCAGTTGACTTCCTTGCTTTTACATCAGTACTTTAGCCAGTTTTCCAATTTTTTTTTAATGTTAAAATTGCCCGTTTGTCTGCTTCTTTAAAATATGCTAGCCCTCAGCCTTGCCAAAGAAAGATGTTGTGGCAAAACATCTAACACAGTAGGAAAACCATTGCACTCCAACCCAAAGTGGTAAGTAGGAGCAGCTTATTGACTTTGTTTATTAAAAAAACCCAACACATATGCCTGAATTCTATACAATAGCTCCATTTGCATTTATTTCAGAGTATGACATACTAATTCATGCATAACAATGTGCAATTTGAATTATGAACTTACTATTCCATAAAGTAAAAGATGTGTCTGACATTCCCGCATTTAGCCATTCAAATGGAAACCTATTATAAAACGGCAGTAAAACTTTAAAAGGTTTAACTCATTAGTTGCCAAAGCAAATAATCCCAAATTCGAATTGCCAGTTTGGTCCACAGTGCAGTGTTTGGAAAGAGGAACAGAATTACCTGCTGAATCGTACTATCAAATGCCAAACATCAAAAACTGTAGGTCGTCCTGCCTCCCCGCAAGTAATTTTGGAAAAAGGGTTGGTTTTTTTTTTTCTATTTCCAGGGAACAAACTTATGCTTTCTGGCAGAAACCAAACCCAGAACTTTGAATAGCTTATCAAACTGAGGAAAAGGTTTGCAAAACTTTACAGGCAGATCCTTGTGTTTAACCGATGACAGGCTAGTGAGTTTATGTGACTGGTAATTGTCCTCGCAAGCCAGCCTGTGTGGTAGGATGACCTGTGCTTTCTTACAATTCAGTTCTTTTTGCATATATTATTTAAATTTTTGGGGGGGAACATTATGTAAGCTGGATTTGGGATACAGCACCCTTTTGGGGGCCTCAGTCTTCTAAAATCAAGGACTTGAGTGGTGTTAGCATTAGTTGACACAGTGGAGAAAAACCAACCAAAATTACAAATTGAAGATGAATGACGGGCAGGGATGAAGGTCAGTATTGAGAAGTGTGAATAACAGTATCTGTAGCAATGTATGCTCACTGGTCTTAGTGGAACAGCCTCGCCGTAGTCTCTTCTACTTGCAGCGCAGCAACAGGGACACAACAGGGACAGTCAGACAGCGGGAGAGTCCGCGGGAGCAGCACTGATGCAGTACTACCACGGTCGTCCTCGGCTCCCTTGGGACTCTGCTAGTAGCTGATGGGCCACAGCATTAAGAGTGTCTTTGTTCCGAGGCGTTTAGTCTCCAACTGTGCTTTTGGGTGAGGGAGAAGATGGGCGGATGGGATTAGTATCAGCTCTTGGCTGAGAACCGTGTATTTAAAGCTGCTTAAAACTTGATCTGACCCTGTTTGTATTTATCTCCTGCCTTATCTCAGTTAAGACTACCAGTTCTGGGAACCTATTTAAGTGCCAGAGTTTCCTTTGATATAAAAATATTGAGCAGCAATATTGTCCCATACTGTAATAGCAAAACCTCTCCTTTTTTGGCTTTTTCAATGCCGCGTTTGATATTTTGAGATGTTTTTATAGGAAATAAGGACAGATGTAATTTGTCCGTATGAGATGCATACTTAAGTTTCATTTCTCCCATATATCATAGTTTTTCTAGTATAAACAAATGTGCGTATTGTAAAATACAGTTTTACTTATTTGTGTTTGAAATGTCTTCTGCTTTCCTTTTAGCCAAAGCATATAGGTGGTGTAGTTACTGAAAAGATCCAATTTTTACAAACATAAAGAATTATGCAGCCATGGGAACTCTCTGGAGTGTTCCCTGTCTTCCCTCAGCACTGTGAATTATCTGGCATTGTGAACTTGTACACTTAAGAATACGTTTTCCAAAGTAGTCAGATGCTTCCTACCAAGTGAAATGTATAATTTATTTGTCCTTTTACAGCAAGGTAGAAAATGCAGCTTTTGAGGAGACTGGAAAATCGTCGTTGCTTTCTTTCCTTATTTTTAATTCCCTCATGAGGTAGTTACAGTATCTTTTCTTTCGAAGAGGTTTAACTTGCAAAGTTCTGTTGCAAGCAAGGTGACGCTTTTGCTTCTTACTGTGGAAGGTGTGATTTAGCAATGAGGTAGAGAACCAGATCTTACTAAAAAGTTACTTCAGCTAATGGAGACAGAGGAAGGACTAGGCTGCCAAACTAAAGAGAGTTTTGAAAGCAACTGGTGTTAATTATTTTTGTGGTAAGGACGGAGCTGCCAGCCCCCAAGGTGTCACCAACTGCTGGCCTCAGCCGGCCCTCAGCGTTACTGTGGCCTCGTGCCCCTGTGAACGGTTCTGCAAAGCGTGGTAGGGCCTCAGAGTATAGTTAAAGTCTTTATTCAGCTGATATCCTCGGGTATCACAGCCGGGATTTTGGTTCCCGCACTGTAGAATTGTCAGTGGAGGCTTGCATTTGCAAATGGGGTAACTGAAGTAAAAACAATAAAACATTGGGAAAAATATTTCAGGGGAAGCATTACTGGAATACTTGCAGGTCTTTTTGCTTATGAGCTGGCAAGAGGGCAGCAGCAGCGCTCTGCTGTAGGTACTTCCTTCTTACATATATGATGTGGTCCCTCTTTATAGTGAGTCACAGGATACAAATGACTTGTGAAGAAAAAACAATTTCTGTGGGCCTAAAACCACAGGATTTGCAAACTTTTATCTTTGAGTTACTGCCGCTAGGCGTATGCTACTGAGCCATTAATTTTGTTGGACAAGTACATTCAGTGGAGGGAGTAAAACAGAGACACATGAACTGTGCCTACCTGGGAATGGCAGGTAAGTGGATCAAATAACTTGGGTTAGAGCTGTCCCGAGGAGTCTTGTTGCCTCAAATCAGAGTGCACACTGGCAGCGTTAAGGTGGAAAGGCAGGATCAGAGTGCTGTGGTTTAGACCCCTGCTTGGTGTAAGGCTCCTTTTATGAGCTGCCGTCTGGTTTTTTTTCCATCCTTTATGGAGTGCTCCCCATCCTGATGTAGATTTTGATGTGGACACCCATGCTTATTTTGCTGGAAGCTGTCACAGACATTTACAGAATGATTCACCTGTATGGCAGAGTTTAAACCAAGAAAGACATTTTCTAGACTGTTGTGTTGGGATTTCGGTCATGTGTGGTTTTCTACTGTGTTGACAAACTAAATGGTATGTCCCATAGGAAGTACAGAGGCCTTTAGGCATGGCTTTATTGTATGTGTTTTAAATGCTACCTCTGGTTGTTTCTGTAGTGGTATGGCTTAGATCTGGCAGATAATCTTTTGTAATTTTTTTTCCCAGACTCTTTTCAACAGGGAAGGATAGCCCCCATGTATGCAATGAGCAGGGAAGGGAATTTTTTTTTTTTTGGGGGGTGGGGAGGTGTTTGTTTTTTGTTTGCTTGTTTGTCTTTGAGGTGGAAAGGAAAAATGTTTGTTAAATGCTGTGATCTATACCTTCTGCTTCTAGGTGCTTGGAGAGAATTTAGCCCATGTTTCCTAGATAAGGCCTGTCACTGTAATCCGGCCCTAGATGTTAATCTATATATATATGGTGCTTTACTGTTGCTTGCAGACCATTGTTGCTATTAACAAGGATCCAGAAGCTCCAATTTTCCAAGTGGCAGACCTTGGACTGGTGGCAGATTTATTTCAGGTGAGGCTAAACTTGGAGATGCACGGGGTAACTGTATCAGAGAGCTAATGATAGCTTAGATAACATAATCTAATAAGTGTTAAAGATGTCTGTCTGAGGGTGTTTGCTTTGGGTTGTTTTGTTAAAGAATTTGCTTTATGATTTCATTATTTTCATGCTCAAAATTCAGTCCCTGCAAGCAGAAGCTATCAGGTGTGTTGGGGGGGGTGTCACGGCCAGCCTGCCTCTATTCTAGTTTCCTGAATATGAACCCTTTTGAGAAACAACTGCACGTAGGTGCTTACATGTATTTTTTAAGCTGCATAAAGTATGAAAGTACAGAGTTGGCAGGAAGAGTTCTTATTGTGGCCTGGGCTTGCTGCCTTACCGATGCCCATGAGGACCTTGCAGTTCTCTCTGG